AAAATGGACTGGCATCTCTAGTACTGGCACTACATATAAATGGCCACTGTGCATCTAGACAGGCACTGTCAGTCCAGAGCTGCCCAAGATGGTTCCTGAAATTTGCCCAGACTTGGTAAACAAGGGGAAATTAGAGATCCTGCTGGAAGGGGTGGTATGGAGGAGAGATGCCCTCTTCCCCATGACAGAGGAGTTCACAACACCAGAACAAACCAACCTGGACCAAGGTTTGCCACCTGGGTTAATGTGGTCTCAACCATCCAAAGTGTACATCACAGCAGTATATGGATAAGGTCAATGGCTTTCGCTAATCCCCCAGTGTAATTGCCAACATTATCTCTGATACCTCACACTGACTGTTTACCTCTGCTACTATGTTCACCTCCCACCAATGCTCATGTTCTAGCACCTTCACTGTTAAATGCGACATCTTCCCTCACTCACTCTCACTCACATCAACTCCTGTGCCACTAACCATCCTTGCACTCTGTGCTGCTCATTCACTCAGGACATCTCATTTTTACCTCACCTTCTCCAAAAGTAACAGCCATGCCATCCACTTTCATCTCCCTTAATACGCTTCTCTTCCTAAATCCAGGAGGAGAACAGCCCACATGGGGCAGAAGTAGTCAAGAAAGGTGGCAGGCTGACTGACCTTCAGCTCCTCACACTTGCAAGGAGAGGATCCTGACCCTAACAACACAGAATGGTTGTCTGACCATATCCAATCCCCTGGACTGGTATCAGAGGCTGCCATTAACTTCCTGTACTGGGACTCCCTGACTGAGGCTGTCTCCCTTAACTTGATGAGAACTACTGGCATAATCGTGACCAGCTCCATGGCTTTGTGTCTGCGCTAAATGGCATGACAGTATAACAGCACTGTGAGCCTGGTATTTCTGGCTGATTGGGAAAAAAGGTGTAAAAGGCATGGCGATGCAAAGCAGGGTGCTGTGAGCATCCATGTAGGTTCACAGTGAGTTTTTAAGTGAAATGCTTCCATAATTAAATCATTTGATTGATAATTAAACCATTATCATAAATATGTTATTGAGAAATAGAATTGTCATATTCAACTTGAAATGTTGACTCTGTTTTTCTTTTCCCATATTGGTACACCCGCTGAATATTTCTAGCACTTCAGGTTTTTTCAGATTTCAGCATTGTATTTTCCTTTTATGTTACCAAGCATAATCTCCTCCCTAGGAGGTTCGACTAACTTCCCACTTAAGTTACAGTGGGAACACCTGGGTAAATTTGTGATCTTTTCTTTTCTGAATCTCCAGTTGCTTTCCTTTCTCCCCATTCTCCAGAAGACACTGACTAATTTTGGTGTAGTATTGCACAGGGTCACTGAATAATTCCACCAAATATTGGCAGAGGAAGCATCCAGATTTAAACACTGGACAGTGCTGAATGGGCCTTCCTGAACTCAGGAGCAGGAGGTTTTGATGAACAGCTTCAGTTCTGTTGGCTCAAAAAAAGAAATAGCTGGAGAAACACCACAGGGTCTGGTAGCGTCTGTGAAGAGAAAGCAGAGTCAACATTTCAAGTGCAGTGACCCTTCTTCAGAACTGATTGAAAATAGTTGGTTAAGGAATGGGAGGTTGAAATCATTTGGGCTTTCCATATCTAATCACTATAGAGTGATTCTGACTGGAAAGTCTAAGTGCAGTTTGAGGGCATTTCTCTTTTTGGCCAAGTAATGATCTGGGCCCACATTTGCAAAGCCCACAATTAGATTACAAAAGCGGGGATTTGCAAGTGCTTTTGGAACCACACCCCAGAATCATGTCTTCAGTAAAGGAAACAAAGGTGGAGGACTTATTTCCAAAAAAAGTTGTTGTTTTACTTAAGTAATATTTAGATAGCAATAAAGTAATGCTTCTAGCAGTTTAGGTAAAGTTACCCAATATTTGTATCTTATTGAGTTGACATCATATTATTAATTGTCGAGACATACTTGTTTTTATCTTGACCCTCATTCTATTCTGGCACAAATCCATATCTTGTATATATGTATTCAGCTTTGTTGAATGATGTATTTTCCGTTACTGTTAAATGATTCAATTCTTTACACATTTGAAAGTGCAATTATGTGAAAGCAAAGTTGGCAGTGGTAGAGGAAGGCACAGCTGCTGCTGGAACTGTTTGGAACTGAGCCTCAGACTTGAACTTTTCTCATCAGTTTGGACTGGCACAAGAGAAAAAAAAAGCAAATAAAAAGCACCATGGAGTAAAGTATGCACATTTTATTTATGGATTGCATATTATATTGACAGAGCAAGCCCAACAATTAGACTAAAGGTTGAATTAAAAAAAATAAATTTCTACTCAAGTCTGCTTATTCCAAATACCAGTTGGTAATTTCCACTTTCACTGTAATTGCAGCTTAAAGCACAAAGGATTACTGGGGGCAGAGGGGTAAAATATATTACATGACCCAGCAATTAAATGGCATCATGCCCATCTTCCTAATTGATGCCAAATCTCCAATATAGCAGAGACAAATTTACTATGTAGGGATATTTGTATTATTAATGAGCATTCTGGTAAATTTGGATTTCCAATCTTCACAGCAGGTTCTTCGTGTCATTTGTAGGAAAGAGAACCTGCTTGTATCTCTTTCACTGCTCTATTAGTATCTGTGCTACTGTTCACCTGAATGTAAGGCTTCTTTCCTTTGACATGCTGCTCTAAAGAAATACCTGCACCAGCCAGAATGGGTGAAATGACACTGCCGATATTCTTCCGTTATTTGTAGGTTCATTTCTCAAGGCAAACCCCTGACCAATCAGAGTCAACTTGCTTGGTTTAAAATTGAAACACAACTTGGCAGTTAACTGTCAATCAGCATTAATGGGTGCATTCTCCATGGCAGTGTTTTTACCAGTTGGTGTCCACTCACCAACCACTCAGCACACTCTTCTACAGCTGGTTTTCTCAATGAATTTATATTCTAATGATTGTCCTAATGAGTGCAAGATGAAAAGCTTTGACAAACTATGTCTTTTATCAGCAATACTCAAATTCTGCGCTACCAACAAGGCTATGTGTATTAAAGCAGTGATAACAGGGCACTGAGAAAATTATAATACAATTAATGCAATAAGCATTAATTGATGAAGAGAAACTGTGTTTGGCAATCCATTACAGCTTTTGAGGATGTAGCCATCAGGGTGAAGAAAGGAGAAATAGCGCATATAGTGTGTTTGGATTTTCAAGAGGCATTTGATAAGGTGCCTCTAAACATTTGTTGCATAATATAGGAGCTCATGGGATTGATCGTAATGTAATAGAATAGATAGAGGCAAGGAGGGAAAACACAATAGAAATAAATGGGTCATTCTCAGGTTGGCAGGCTGTTGCCAATGGGGTATTGCAAAGATCAGTGATATAACCTCAGCTATGACCTACAGCCAGAAGACGGGGAGGAAGGCTACCCACCTGGGAGAAGTGGGAAGGCAGTTAGACTCATTAAAGAGGCAGTTGAGTGTTATTAAAGATAACATTTAAATTTATCCAAGAAGCACAAGGTGACTGTACAGCAGGAAATCCTTGACTAAAGTGGCAGACATTACATCCTCCACAAGAAAAGAGGATCCACAACAGGAACATAAGCTCGTACTCCTGGATTGGGAGTGCTGATTGAAAGTGTGGGACTTGGAGAATAGCTCATTTATAAAAGTGCAAGGGAAATTTGGCAGCTGTAGGCTGAGTGGCTGATGGTCTGTATGGATTTATCTGTTCGAGGTGGACTGAAGCAATGAGGAAAGCAGCTTTCCAGGAACCAAGGTAGTCCTCTGGTGCTCCTGGATGCAGAGATCATACTAAAGGGACAAGGAGGCAATGGCCATGAAGACATGGGGTCAGTGTAAAACATAGAACATGCTTGTGAAACTCAGGTCAGTTTTAAAGAAGTCATACCAGACTCAGGATATTAACTCTGATTTGCTGTTCACAGATGCTGTCAGAACTGATGTGTTTATCAAGCTATTTCTGAGCTTGTTTCAGATTTCCACTTTCCACAGTATTTCACCTCTGTTTAAGGGCTCATTGTGAAGTCTTGTCCACAATGTGACATCTACAAAAGTATCACATTCCCTCAGCAATGCCCTGAAAGTGAGAAAATAGGGAATATTAATAATGTGGATTATTTGTTGTTCTAATGGATGGATATAATTGGATATTATAGAACTGATTTTATAAAATTGCATTCCCACTGGGATACCTTGAGCACCAGCCTTCTAAGGTAGTTACTAGTGCACTGCCGACAATTTTCCATTCATTCACTTTTAAATTAAACATCAGGCATATCAAAGTTGAAGGGACAAGTTGGGGATTCCATATAATAATGATTCATTGTTCAGTTAAATTCTTTGTATGTTGTTTAAAGTTTTGACACAACATGTCAAAGTTATTTTACTTAATAAATTTGACAGCTTCAATATGTTGGACTGAAAAATAGCAACTTAAAACTCCATTTGAAAATAATTGCACTCTTGGTGTATGAAACGGCAGATTGAAGGTGGTATTTGAAGGTGAACTGTGAACATAAGGCACCTAAGGAAAGGAAGTGAACCAGGCTCCAACTGTTAATTTTAAAACAGAGACTGGTGAGCCAACAAAAAAAAATCACCAAAGATACTGGGGAATGTGGGAGAAAAGTGGGTCTTCTGGGTGTAGGTGATTACTCATCTGTGATCTCACTGAATGGTAGAACCAAGAAATTTTATTTCTACGGAATGACAACAAAATTTTGACTGATCACCATATGTAATGTGACAAATTTGAAGCATTAAGATCATGGCAAGTCCTTGTAGACTGCTCTATGCAGATAACACTTGCTATTACAAAATCATTTTAATCTATAACTGACTGCCTTTCACATGTGGTTGATTAATAAATGCATTAATGTAATAATAAATGCATATTATTAAATGAAATCATGCATTTCTTTATTATTTTCTGAAATCTGTTTGAATATTTTTGCTTCACAGAGTTCAATGAACGAGAAAATGATTTCAAGATGTGTGATGAGACCACATGTAAATTTGATGGTGTGTGTAAGGAAATTGGGGATGACTTGACATGTTCGTGCCAATTTCATGTAAGTGCATCTATACCTTGTTTCACCTTCATAATATGTAAGAAATTTAACAGCCTTGCATCAGTTATTTTAAGGAAATACATTTGGGAAGACCTGGCTTCTAATGAATATTCCATTCAAATAAACTTGGTCAAAAGTAGGATGTTACCATTAACTACTCACATGTTCGAAAGGAGTAACAGCATACCTTTCTGGTTTGCAGTTAAAACTCCAGTACAATTTTATGTTCAAATTTATATTTCTTTTATATTTAACAAAAAATTACTAATAAGAGTACCATTACATTACCGGGTTTACTCTATTGGCCACCTATAGACTAGTGAAAAGGAAATAGAGGAACAAGATTGCAAGGAACATATAAAGAGGTGTAGGAGTTTTTGTATAGTTATAGTTATAATGGGAACCTTTAATTGTCCTAGAAACAGGATAGAAGTAGGTAGGGATAGAAATACTGTTGGGCCAGGAATGGGAAAAAGTTTATGAAGTACATTGGATGGATTTTTTTTTAATCAGCATGTTCCATACCCAATGTGAAAGGAGACATTGCTGGATTTGCTTTTGGGGAATGGTGTGGGACAGTGGGAAATGTTAGTAGGGGACCAGTTTGGGGACAATGATCTTAAGACCGTAAGGTTTAAGTTAGTTATGGAAAGTTCAAGGAAAGGTCCAGATTAAAAATAATTAGGCTGGAACAACTTCCATAGGGGGAGCACAGGTTTGACCAAGCAAAACTGTAAAGGAAAAGAGGCTGATTTGGAGACGATTTTGATAGGATATCACATTCCAATAATAAGGGGAATAGTGTAACAAATAAGTCCAAAGGTCCTCGGCTGATGAAAGAAATAGAGAAATGGGTTTTACTCTCCTCTGCCAGTGTATTTAAAGGTAAGGTAGACTTGTACAATACCACATAGGGTATATCTGTCACCTGCCCATCCCTATCCTGTCTCCCATATTGCAGGGCTTGGTAGAGGTATCAGGCTGCTCTCTCCCCCTTGAACCTATTGAAGGTCCATATGATAAATTATTGACTGCTTAAATATTTAATTGCACCTCAGTGCTGCAGTTTTACCCATGACAGAGGAGGCTCTGGCCAAGCAGGTAATCTGACAGCTTGTACTGGATGAGCTAGCATCGGGCAGTGAGTGGGACGACCCTTCTTTTGTGGAGAATTACTCTCTCTAAGGTCATAACTGCCTTTAGTCCTCCTTCCAATTCTTGACCTCTTACACCTTCCTCCCCACTAGGAAGGAAAAGGCAATAAAACTGGCAAATGACAGACACCGACATGTCTGACTTGATCTGTATACCTCAGAGCAACACTCTTGCGTGACCAGTACATTCATTTCCAAGTATTGCTATCTCTTACTGCTTTTTCACTCTGGGCACCTCCCTCACTCTCTCCATTTCTGGGGCCTGCCACCCTGACTCCCCAGCCTGGTATTCTAGATTCTGTCCAATTGAGCCTCCATAAATCTCTTCTCCAGGCGCTGCCTGGAGTACAAGCGGTGGCCACTCAAACCTGGCAGCTGTTTGCTGTGGGGCTTCTCCAGATGAGGGCAGATGTCCTGAATGTGAAATTACACGCTTATTTTGTGGGTAGGCTCTTGACTGACTTTTTACTCAGGGAAGTGGCGAACGCAGCGCCTGCTAACATCCAACCCGATGGTTAGGATGAAGGCGAGAAAGAAGTGCAGATGACAGGATGTTACGTTGATAATGCTATTGAGAATCAGCCCGAGTATGGAAAGTTTAAAGAGGAAGCAAAAACGGAAATAAGAACAAAGAGAGATTTAAGAGTAGAGCCTAGCAGCTAACTTCAAAGGGAACCTAAAAGTTTTAGGCATTTAAGTATTCAATGCATGTGAAAAGGAAGGTTGAGGCTGATTAGGGAAGTAAAAGGGATTTAGACAGGGGATATGGCTGTGGTATAAAATGAGAAATGTGCAGCCATCTTTACTAAGGAAGAAGATGCCACTCAGACCAAAGAAGGGGGTAGTTGAAACACTGAACTTGCTAAAAATTGATGCAGAGGAGATGTAAGAACATTGTCTGGAATTAAATTTGATAGGTCACCAGGACCAGATGAGATGCATCCTGGCATACTGAGGGAAGTAAATGTGGAAATGAATGAGACACTGGCTATAATTCTCCAACCTTCCTTAAATACAAGAGTAGTACCTGGGGGTCTAGGAGATACCAATGTCACTCATTTGTTCAAAAAAGTGTCAGAGAATAAGCCCAGCAAGTACTGATCATGAAACTGTAACTACCGAGGTGACTGCCTCCCAATTGGTGAAAGGTACAGAGAAATGATGTGACATTTTATCCTTTGATTGGCCTGTTTTATCAACCTCAGAGGTGGAGTCGGGCTCACTTCAGGCTCCTTTTGCTATCTATCGTGATTTTACATACTGTACTGGTGAACTGATGATTCTGTACATTTCCTTTTCCTTTTCCCAAGAGTACAACATATCTATATCTTGTCTGAACACCTCGCTAGAAACCTTATCACTTTGATGTCCTGAAACTTCAGGATCTCACTTAGCACAAGATCAGTCACCGTCATCCCCTACCAACTCCTCAGCTTTCACTATGAGGGAAGTCAGGATTCTGATTTCTGAGTCACATCCCCCTATTACTGCCTCCTCCTTAGTGTTACACATCCATCTGTCCATGCAGGCAGAAAGAAGGATTGAGTGTAATTTCAATGTGATACTAACCCAGCCAGGTTCTGAAGAAGGGTCACCAGACCCGAAGCGTTAACTCCGATTTTTTCTTCACAAGTGCTGCCAGACCTGCTGAGCTTCTCCAGCAACTTTGTTTTTGTTCCTGGTTTACAGCATCCGCAATAAGACAGAGAAGGGATGGATGTCTGCTCAATTATGGCTCTGGTTTCCTGCAATTTTGGTTGCGTTGGCTTCTGGCTGATTTCACAAGCTGAATTTTCCCTTTTGCTGTTAAAGTGTTTTGTTGAGTGAGAATAATGGTATTCGGTCTGCCATGGCTCAAAGTGACTTTTCTCACTCAGACTTTCACTCTTCACCTCATTGATTAAGCAACCAGGCTGTTCGATGCCTTCCTCAGTGAAACGTATGGCCTGAGAAGTGGACATGCTTGCCACTGGCTTTCACACCTTTCAGTGCTGCATTTAAAGCCCTGCTATAATCTAGGAACTGACCATCATTTTGTGTTATCGATGGTGTGCCTAAAGCAAAGGAAAGCCAGCTCCCTGCTTCGCAGACAGGGACACAGAGGTGGTGGTGGAGAGGTAGATGGTTTCTTCCAGTTGGCTGCAAGAGGCAACATCTCCAGATATAGTCCAGGCTGGACACAGTTTAATGCCTGGGCCAGTGTTGTGTTCTGAGTGAAAAGGAACACCCAGCAGTGCAGGCAGAAGGTCAGCGATCTTACGCAGTCCACTTGACCAAGTGCCACTATCTGCTTTCTGCCACCTCACACTTAGAGAGTCACCGATCACTAACTCTGCCACAGCATCTCGCTGAGCTATATGGACTACACCTTTCAGTATTGTATGCATCATGTCCACTCAATGTCTTTCTCACCCACCTCATTCTCCCAGATGACTAACCTTCCCTGCCCTCTGCAGTTGCTACTCACTCACAGGGACCGTCACACCACCTCTGCTGCTCATGTTTTACTATCAACTGCTCTTCCACCCACTTCAATGACGCTCAGTCACCTGTCTGCCTCAGTGTAGGAAAAACTGGCCCATTCCCCAGACTGATGTCTCTACCGCACCCTGTGCAGTAATCATATTGCTTACAGTTGACCTGCAGGACTGATGGTGGCCCAGTTCGCAGACTACAAGAACGTAGATCCCCAGACTCTGATGGGACCAAGTGCTTGAATGACCGTGACCAATCCCCTTGACTCTAATTGACGAGCTCCTTGACTGAGCATGGCTGTATCTGAGTGTAGTCTTCCTTCACCAAACTAAGGGCATGCTATGCTTCAACATTGCCATTTGCTTGGAACATAAGGAGTGTATCAGCCACACAAACTGCTGGCATATGTTTCTGGTCTAACATTGCTACATTAATGTGTCTCACAGTAACATACCCATACTCATCCGACTGATGGGTTGATTGTTCAGTGCTCTTCATCATCTCGAGTTGCCTGCATCTCCCACTCCCTTAAAAGCCCCAGAAGCTGGCAGTTCATAAGTGAGCACCAGAGATGCTGTGCACCAAGAATTCAGTGAGAGCCGTACAGAGCATGGCAGCCAGAAAGTCAGTGTGTGCTAAAAAAGCAATGAGAAGAAGACAGACACTGGTAGCCTGCAAATAAGCAGTAAAATGAGTAAGTGCTAAGAAAGCAAACTAAGAGCCATCAGTTGCATCCTGTGTAAATGTATGAGATGTGTGTGTTTTCCTGTGCACAAAGTAACTTGGCAGAAGCATGCAGGTTCTAGGTGCCCATGAGCTCCAAAATAAAGTATCGAAAACCAATATGGTGTCTGAGTACATCCGAAAGCAGGAATAATGTGCTGAGGCTGGTGGTTTGCCAATGGCAACATGTAGGTTCGAGGAGGATGGTGGCCATGGGGAATGGGGGGATGTTGTTGTGAAGAAGCAACTTTATGAGAGTCAGGACAGGGATTCAGCAAGCTGCTATCACCAGGTTCCTACTCTGATTCACGTGTTGGGAATTTGGACCATCTAGCTTTTTGGTGAAAAAAAGAATTGGAAATAGCACTTAAATAAGGCAATTTGGGGTTTTAATAAGGTGTAAATTCACCCAAATAAGGTCATCCCCTACTTAATGGTGAGGTTCAGTAGTTGAGTTACAAAATGCTGGCTGTGTGAGTGTGAGGTAGCTGAGAGAAGATGGTGGTGTTTATCTTTGCAGACCACAGTACATCATTGACCTTCTTGTGGCATTGCTACATTTCCCTTTAGACTTGGGTCATAACACTGATCCATATTGCAATTAGCGTCCAAGCTGGTTGCGTCAGGTGGTATCACTTTCTTTGGAGG